CGGCTTTCCTTCCTTACCTAACACTCTACTCCTAACCCTAACACTAGTCATCGCAATATACCACTTAACACAAGAGATAGAATACAAGCATCTGTGGTCAACCTTTTGATATCTTCCATTTTCTATGGTTGCGTCACCCAGCCGTAAAGGAAGACACAGCCAACTGCTTTGCCGTAAACACGTTCTTTGATGGATAGCCGAATATCATGTCTACGCAACAGATAACGTAAGTCGTACCATATATAGTCCAGTTATTGTCACACTAAGTAATGTTTGATCATGGGAGTTAACCCTACAACAAATGAGATTCATTTGATATAAGCTTTTTCAAAACAAATTTCAGAATATCAAATATACTACTGATTTCTCTGAAAAGTAGAAATTTTTGTATTATGAAATAGCATCCAATTAAAATCATTTGATAAAATCAAGGGCTGCATACATTATGAATATAATGAAATAAAAAATGGTGCAGCTTGAAGGCCTGCTTAAACCACTGGGCTACCTAGATATTCATCCAGCCTATCGTACCTAATCCTCTTTGTTCTTTGCTGTTTTATTGATATAAGAATAAAACTTGGGCACTGTGGTAGAGTGTAATTCCATTATGGGTAAATTTTATTTTGATAGAGTCTCACAGTGTTATACAGTAATATTTACTGATGACGTTTCGAGCACAATTTATCGCTCATAATCATATCAAGTTAATCACACGACTTCCTAAATTCTTTTATAAAGTTCCATTGTTTTTCACTTGATTTTCACTTGATTTGATTGGTAGTATTATTTTACATATCTCGAGTATGAGTGATGATTCATTCCTATTGCATGTGTTGGGTGTAGATTCGATGAACAAAGATTCAGTAATCAACCTTTGTTCATCGAATCTACACCCAACACATGCAATAGGAATGAATCATCACTCATACTCGAGATGTAAATATACATATAAACAATGAAAACAATGGAACTTTATAAAAGAATTTAGGAAGTCGTGTGATTAACTTGATATGATTATGAGCGATAAATTGTGCTTTGCTGTTTTAATCTCACAATTATCGGCTTGGATCGTAACATGAGTTCAGTCAAATTTTTATTTGGCTTCCAACTTATCACTATGCACTTCAGGAACAAAATGAAGGCAGAATGTAGAGGACTGAGTTTTATTTGGGACAGAATGACATAGAGTCATACGATATACTATCTATGAACATTTCCTTGAAGACTGTTTACTTGGAGTAAATATTCTGCAAGAAACTATATTGAGAATTCCATATTGTGCACAAACATTATTTCCAGAATGAATATTTTATTTAAGATGATTTCGTCGCACTAAATATAACTCCTAGGTTGACAACTAGACGTCTGCAGTAAGTAAATATAATTGCATGTTTTTCCAATGCAGTGAAGGGACCTCAAAAACCCCCTTGTGTAAGATTCTTAGTGAAACAACAAACTCAACTAGAAACAGATTATATCGGCTAAAAGACCGTTCTTACTTAACTCACTGATAAGAGCAACTTCCTTTATCCAATAACCTGCAATGATTATTAGGTTAATCCGTAGGTCAAAGTAGTAGGCTGGGGTCAATCCCAGAAAAATCTAGATTGGTTGACCCCGAAATGGTAGGAAATTTAGAAGACAGTTCAGGTGTAGCACTGCATGCAATTAAACACAACCATACAATAGGATATGACAAGATGACAGACGTAAAATCTAATATAACAGGGTGGAAGAGTGAGATTGATGGTGGAAACTTTATTTATTCAATAATCTGAGAATACATACAATAGAAATGATTTAACGCCTGTCCACCCAGGTATGTGGAAAATTCTGCAACCCCTACGACCAATATGAAGGAATAAAGAGAACTATAAAAATGGATTTCCGAAGTTGTGAGTTGTTGGGTTAAATTGTTGGTGTGATGACCATCTCTAGATGTATATCCATCTGACAGGCAGAAAATGGGACGACACAAACATCTTCGATTCTACTGTTAGATCCTATCAAACAAATAATACCATGTTCACTTGAAAGTGATTCATTTCAAGTTTGATGACGGATCGATATCAGTTAGAGAATCATTGAAAGCCAAGGAATATCAGGCATCCATTTCGTTGTAGTTTGGGGCTCATTGGCAATACGCACCCACCCAGGATCTTACGGTTACAAGACGAGCTCTCTGACTGACTACTCAGCCAATAGAACCTGACCCAATGGCCAGCCAACAAATTCTAACTTCCACCAGTTCGAGATTCTAGCGTGAGTGGCACTAGCCAATGTCATCGGTGAGTACTTGTCCTCACTCCCAACCGGGTGGAACACACTAGTCACACCTAACGAGCTAGTGACTGGCTGCAGGACGAAGCTGCCTGGAGTTTTAATGAGAAGTCCCAGTGGCTGAATAGTCTCCAGGCTTTCCTTGTAACCGAAAAGTCCTGGGTTCGAATCCCGTAAGGCGTGTATGGTCAATGAGTCCCAAACTAGGATGAGATAGCTGTCCATTACTCCTCAGTTTTCAATGGTTCTCTAACTGATAACAATCCGTGTTCAAACCTGAAACAGTATTAATAATTTGATGACGATAGGAGATGGATCCAATTCTTGTCGAGTAGGTCATTGCTCATTAAGGATTCAGGTAAATCCAGTTGACAAGTCTTAAATAGGATGAAATGTGCCTTCTGTATACCACTGTTACCTAACACTCAAATAAATTACCTCAGCTATTATGACTGACATAGCATGTTTTCAGCGGCCTGTTTAAATCACTGATATAACTAAATTTTCTATCCACCAAAAACGCATCGTATTTACTTGCCTTCAAACTGTTTTGATCTTCCGATAACCGCAGTGAATTTCAATCTATACTCGTGCAAAATTTCAAATAAGTTTCCACTTATCGCTAGGATCTTTTTGAAGCAACTGCAGGAACAGCATTGTTGAGTAGTAGTGGAATTTGCCTTGGATGGAACGATATTACTTCAGATGATATATTATCGATTATTATATTATTTGAAGATTCTGTACAAGGAGTAGACACGTCACAATGGAACCCGCTGAAAATTCTGGATTGTATGTAGACGTATTTTTCTGAATAAAGCTATTATTTTTTACGAGTTGATCACGGATTGATATCAATTAGAGAACCATTGAAAACCAGGGAGTACTGGACAGCTGTTTCACCCTAGTTTTGGGAATCATCGGCAGTACGCACCCGACAACAGGGTTCGAACCCAGGACCTTCCAGTTACAAGGCAAGCTCGTATACCATTCAGCCACTGTGACTTGATTCAATTGTTCATGAATTCTAACTTCTACCAATTCGTGATTTAGCGCGACCCCAACCAATAGGACATCCGTCCTCACACGTGACATCTGGATGCACTTCACTGGTCACGACTTCCCACCAACGACATTGGTAGAAGAGAAGTTAGAATTCATGAGCCATTGAATCAAGTCACAGTGGCTGAATGGTATACGAGCTTGCCTTGTAACCGGAAGGTCCTGGGTTCGAACCCTGTTGGTGGTGCGTACTGCCGATGATTCCTAAAACTAGGGTGAAACAGCAGTCCACTACTCTTTGGTTTTCAATGGTTCTCTAACTGATATCAATCCGTGATCAACTCGTAAAAACATAACTAACCCTTACAAACCAAACTGTAGAAAAAGCTATTATTGTTATATTGTTGTTGTGTATTGTTGAACAGACTTAAATTATGACAAAACCGCCTCATTTTTCCATTAAAAGGTGTCACTTTATCAATTTATTTTTAAATAAAAAATGAATACTAATGTGCTACTTATTAGCAGCTCTCTGTGTCACCTTAATACTGAGAATCAGATGCTCAGTAAAGATCAACAAGTAACAAGGAATTCCGCTAGTGAAATGAGACAGCCAACAACCTATTGCACAAAAAATATTTGGGAGCCCTACAAACCAATACTTGAATATCAATGAGATGCTCACTGGCGACTGGCCCTATTCAGGTAGGCAGTTACCTGGCGTTCTAGTGGGAAGTCGTGACCAGTAGGGTGCAACAGGTCGGGTGTGAGGACAAATACTCGCCGAAGACATTGGCTAGCGGTTGCGCTATATCGTGAATTGGCAGAAGTTAGAATTCATGGACTGGCCATTGGATCGGGTTCCAATGGCTTAATGGTCTACGAGCTCAACTTGTAACTAGAAGGTCATGGGCTCAAACCCCAGTGGGTGCGTACTGATGAAGAGTCCCAAACTAGGACAAAATGGCTGTCCAGTACTCCCAGCTTTTCCAATGGTTCTCTAACCAATGTCAGCTCATGATGAAATCCTGTAACGGAGATGAGTTAGAACAAATTAGTTGACTATACAATAAACACAGTATACATTCTATTGCTATTATTATTATTATTCCTATGGGTGTCGCATGAAACATAACGCTCCAGCAGGCCATCTCCATTTCACCCCTTTCTTTACCATCTCCTTTAGTCATCCATAAGATTTCATTCCCTCATCACAGGATCCTCTTCATTTCGCCCTCCTTCATTCAACTGCATGACATTTGATATCTTTTGACGTCTGTTCAGCATATTCATTGGGTGATAAATTATTGACTGGATTACTGAGCTTTGTATTCTTTCCGACCAGCCATCTGATCTTTAGTATTGAACCAACAAAAGCAGTTATTGATGAAATGCATTGCTAACCCAGTGTGGTAAACAGATTTCTACACAAATATCTAATATTACCATTTATTAAAAAAGAAATTCATTCCCACATGATGTCTACAGCCGTTATTTTTATAGTATTATTAATCAATAATAATAATGATATAAGCTGTGTGAGTGCATGATATATACATATCTCATTAAAGAATCGATCGAAAAGTCAATTTTCCCATAATTTGAAATCATTATATACATCATGTGTATAGTGGTATGTATGCACTTCCGTTTGTAATATATACACATACATATATCGTATGTCATTGACACAAACACATTTATACATATATATAATTCTCTGTTGAAGTATTTCTCTACTTATTCTTCTGATCGCATATAAATAAATTCTCTTCTACTTTTGAATTTTGTTTGTTTGTTTCCATTTTATATTCATATAAACAAGCAACATTGAAAATTGAATTATTTATTCATCACTTGAACATTGAACCCTAACTAACTATTTGAATTTGTGTGTATATTATCATCTATACACAATAATGAAAGATATAATAATACTCTTGAATAATATAAATTATACATTTATAGTATTTATAACACTATTAATTAATTTATGTTTAACATCAAATAACAATAATCATAATAATAAGCATAAAAAGTTTGCTAAAAAATATATTCATAATAATAATGCTTATATCAATAATAATAATAATACTAGCAATGGGAAGAATGAATATCTTAGTATTAGTCCAATATCATCAGAGAAATTGAAACAATATTTTTGGAAATTAGAACAATTACCCTATATAGATGATTTATGTCAAGATGAATGTAAGTTATTTAATGAGTGAATTTATTTATTTATTTATTTATTTAATGATTCATTAGTTGTTGTGTTTTTTTTTATATTTACTTCTTTATTTATTTTGATATTTTCGATTTATTGAGTTTTATATTCACTGCTTAGCAAAGTTAAACTTTAAGCACCACTAACTACCACCAATCAGCGAATGACGTCGAACGCACCAATCACGTGAAGGAGGCATTTTTCTGTATGGAATACGTATATATTTATGAAAAGTGTTACAGAGGATACCTTTCTCTCCCATATGATAAAAGTAGCTCTCAGTTTTAGGTTGGAGTATCAACAGAGTACATAATTCTATTGTGGTTAAAATTTATTTTGATAAAGTCTCATAGAGTTATGCGATAATATTTCCTGAGCAATAAATTGTGCTTGAAAAGTCATCAGTAAATATTACTACTGTATAACACTGTGAGACTTTATCAGAATAAATTTTACCCATAATGGAATTCTAATCTACCACAGTGCACAAGTACTATTCTTATATCCACAGAGTAATTTAACCACATTCTATACACGTAACTATTTAGGTATTCTAATCCTAAAAATAACCCTAATCTTTCCTGAACCTAACCCTAACGTGAAAATATTCCCAAACTAACCGTAATTTAGAATTTAATTGTGGATAGTGACTACCAGTGGACACGCGTTTTGTCCTATTTGGGACTCGTCACTGCATGTACCTATGTTTCCGAGTAAGTGGTAATGTTCCCATCGAGGCTCGAACTGCTAGTCACCATCCACAAATTAAATTCTAATAACATGCGCAGACATCGTCGAAGCATCTTCACAAGAAGCAGACATGTCAACCTGAGACCGAGCACTTCTGTCCAATCAATCGACGAGAAAATCTAAAATTCAATTAAAAATTACTGTAATTTAACTCGAACCAACCCTAATGTCGCCTTTATTAGGTTAACATAACCCTAACTTGTCCTTGGCTTAAACCGTAACTTAATCTTTCTCAAACCTAAGCTGAAATTTGTTAGATATCCCATTTAATAACATCACACCTCGATTAGCATATATTATTGATGATGACAACATTATTTATCAGGTTTCACTAACTTGATCAATGAGCTTTTCAGGGTCATTGGTGCGATCTCACTCCACTGGTAGTTAGTGGTGCTTAAAGTTGAACTTGGCCCACTGCTTTTTCTCAAAAATTGAATATATCAGTCAAAACAGTAGGAATAAGTATAAAGAATAGGTTTCAAACTACCTGTTTTATGATTACTATTTGTTTGAGTTATGAGCAGAACAAAGGGCTTCAGTAGCACATCTCCGTTTCATCCTGTTCTCTGAACTCTTCTTTAGCTGGCTTCATGACTGTCCCTAAGCTGTTATCTCATCCTCAAACGATCCCTTCCATATCACTCTCAGTTCCACGCGCAACTCATCATTTCCTATTCGGATTCGACCTGATGGCCTGATGCATGATGTCAGTCAAGAGTCATCTTGTGATGTCTCCGAGGTATCTCTATTTCCTTCAGAATACTTGTTAGGCTGTAGGTTCTTCATTGGTTCATTCTCAGAATTCCTTGTTGCTGTTGCTTTCTGGCCATCTGATCTTCACTATGGAGTGAAGGCAGCTGTTACAGGATCAGCAACAAGGAGGTCATTGACGCAGTGAACTGACTAATAAACAGAAAGAAATGGAGATGGAATTGGACATATTCTGAGAAGTTCACTGAGTGGTATCACATGCCAGACCATCCTTCAAAATGGAACTTGAATAGAAAATGAGTGGTGAGTTCAGTGTTGGTCGGAGGTTAAAAGTTTGTGAACAATTGTGGGACCAGTTGAAAGAGATAACAGAGAACACAATCAAGTGGAGATATGCCACGGAAGTCATAATTTGTGTTTCACTCCATCTTAAAACTTTCTCTTAAGATGTGGTCTAGAAGGATAACGAAAGCTCAGAGAACACAACCAAATCAATATATTTATGAAATGGTTCCATTTCACTGAGTTTATATGATAAAACACAGTGTAATACGGTACTAAATTTCGTAAGATACACAGAAGAGCAGCATAGCTCTTGAGCAATTGGATGCCAAGTTAAATTGTAAATCATTCTTCCATATTTTACCAAAAATACTCAACACCTCCCTCCCCACTTCCATAAAATGGAATAGTTAACTCAAATGTCTTAAACATTTTCAACAGTTAAACACAGGTTGCTTATATGATTCATACACCTGCGAAATTCAACAGTCCAAACACATTTTGTTATCTTCGGTAATTCATCCAAATGGTGTTTAGATATTCATGGAGATAGTTATATGCTGATTAGATGACTCTATAAATTAGCACTGATGATTTAATCTTAAAGGTCAGGGTTCGGCTCCTGGCCAACACATACTTAAGCCTTCCCTAGTATACTGAATGAAATGAAACCCAGAGAAGAAAGAAGAGGGAAGTAGCTAAGCTAGGAAGCACTCTTTAATAATCAAACAGCATCATTACTACTGTAACTTCTGTAGAACCTTAGTCCTATCAAAGTCGATTTTGTGTCCCATTTCTATCGAATTTAGTGCAATCGCTGATCTGTTTTCTAGCTTCTTTAAGTCTGCAGCGGTCTTTGGAACCACCTTTAGATATTGTTTATGTTCTTTCACTCTTATAAAGGATAAAATAGAAGAAGAAAACCAACAAAATTGTGTGTACCAGATCATTTGTGGGGATTGTGACGCCTTATATGTAGGAAAAACTTCCAGAGAGGTGAATATAAGAGTGAAAGAGTATAAACAATGTCTAAAGGTGGTTCTAAAGACCGCTGCACACTTAAAGAAGCTACAAAAACAGATCAGCGATTGCACTGCATTCAATAGAAATGGGACACAAAATTGACTTTGATAGGACTAAGCTTCTACAGAAAGGTTTTGGTTCCTATAAAGAAAGACTGATTGACTTCAGAAGCCCTACATATATGGGTGAATCCCAACAGTTTGAAGAGATGTGAAGGTGTGGTGTTAGCTGATGCTTGGCAAATCCTGATTAATAAATAAAAATGGATATGTATCAATAATTAATCATACTTGGTCAAAATTCCCGACTGTCCATATCTTCTTAGGGGGGAAGCTAAGAAATGTTTTATGACTGTTTACCCACATACACATACACACCATTGTATGCTCCATAAACACATACTTTCATATTCAGCTATCTACGTCCATGATCTTTTAGCTGAACGTAATCTGATGAAAAGTACACTCTGTTTAAAGTGTTTTTTAAAAAAAGCAGACTAATTTTTGAAAGTCTGAGGTCAAATCTTGATCACAGTTCATATAAATTATGTATACCTTATCTTCAGTGCACCATCTGCACAGGTCTTCATGTTACGGTACTTTTGGACTTCATGTTGTGTTTCTTTGTGTTCCTTTCACGTCTCCCATGTATCTCCACAACGCTGTATCATTTCCCTTTTATGAAATCAAATGTATCTCCCTTCTGTTTGATGTTATTATACCGATGAGCGTCTCTTTATATACTACTGATAAATCCTTTCAGTAGCACTCGCCACACTTGGAACGCAAAGGAATACAAAGAGGCTAGATGTGTAAATCGAATTCTGGTCAACACCATTATCGTCATATTTTGTATTTCTAGCTGCGCCAAGTCATCTTCAAACATATGAGTTTGAATCTCAGAGAAGACACCTGTCAACAGGCATGAAACGTGCAGCCATGGTCTTCCTGTTAATTGCCCCAACCCTCCCCCCACTAACCTACATTTCTAAACTATTTGTTGTATATTATCTTTGACCTGTAAACTGAATAATAATTATTCATTCGAACGTTGGTGGTTCAACGTTAGAATTCTCATCAACCACCTAGATGGTCCGACTGACGCAATCCTAAAGCTCGCCTTGATTACTAGCTAGACAGTAGTAAAAGCGGAGAAGAGGAAAGTTCTGATGTGAAGTTAGAAAACCCAACCTGTAAAAGTCAAACAACATCCTCCCTAATGAAATTCCAAAGACTAAAGCTTGAAGCCTCATATACCACTAGTAACATATTAACGGCCGTCACTGTGACGTAATTTAATTAATTTTTAAGTCAACCGTCACTGAATAAGAAAACAACAGGAAGGTTTTTTGATGCGCTTGACAAGAAGGTTTAGGATTAGTTTTCACGATAGTTGACACTCATCAGAGTAGTGTACTTCTTAAAGTGAATAAACTAATGGGAAATGAACAAACTGGAAAAGGAAAATCGCGTAGCATAGATTCTACTGACAGCCTCTACTAAGAAGTCACTTTGGCATCTTTAGGGATGTTGATTCTAGTTTACTGTAGATTTTGGCCATGACTCTACATTAGTTAGAGAATGAGTGGGAACTTAAAAAACACTCATCAGTTATTTTGTCCTATCTCAAGACTTTTCAGTGAAACCTACACACCTATCCAGCTTGGCGAAGATCAAATTGAAAGTCTTCAAATTATTAGGCTAACCTTTTCACCCTTCAACAGCTGTGTTATAATCCAGTATCCCGGGAATTTAAATTTCTACTAGTTGTTTTGACTTAGTGCCATAGAGGATCATCCACTTGACACCCAACATGTTTCGAATCACTTGCACTAACTTCTCATTTGAAGTTCATAAGATCTATCTTGCAGTCATTGGTGAGCAATTGATTGATATTTAAACTTCAGCATCATATGCACACTGATGAAGAGTCTTAAACTACTACGAAACAGTCCCTTTTTTGTGCTTTCTGTTTTTCAATGATTCTCCACCCAACATTCATTTGTAATGAACTAGTGGTGTTATCATAAGCTGACAGTAAGGTATCAATAACTCATAATGATTGCAGTAAAAGAGTAACCTGGTCAGCAGCTGAATGTCATATATTAACAGGTTAACTGGAGGTCATTGGTTCGAACCTTACCCCAACCAGGAATTAAGTTTTTTCTCTCAATCATCACTTAATACACCAGTAACAGTCTGTATGTTACAAAACC